GAGACACACAAGCCTAAGCAAGGGTGCAGAGCAAAGATGCCTCTTCTCCCATGCTAGGGCAGAGGCAGGAGGGCAGGCAGAAGCATCACAGTAGGCCAGACCAGCCAGGGCTTGCTCTCCTCAGACGCTTACAACCATCATGGACCTGTTTCCAGAGGAGTGGCTTGCCTGAATTTTCTCCCTTGAGGTTTGCCGGAGGGCAGCCACTTTCTGAAATGGAACTCAAACTGGCTGAGTAACTGGGTGAACGGAGCCAGAGCTATGGATGTCTGAGCATGGCAAGGATTGGGATCTCTAGTGCTCAGGTTATGTGCAAACTAAGTGATTCCTACACTTGGCATTTAGGGACATCTCAGTCTCTGCTCTAAACCCCTCAGATGTCTTTGTGAGAGGCAAAGAGCCCTTGTCTCAGTTAATATGTGGGGGGAGGCATTTTAGAGCCTCCTGTTCACCCGATACAGTCGGAGTATGCTGCTGTAACACCTAGTTGAACACCTCTGAGTGTAGGGCTTTGTGCAGCACACCAGCTCCTCCTGCCTCTCCCTGTCACAGGGATTTTCCCCAGGGTTTCACTGGAGTTGCAGCACAAAATGTGCCAGGCTTGTGTGCTGCACACTGGAGGAAGAACGGGGGTGGCTCGCTGGTGGTGAGCCAACGTGTGCAGGTTGGTGGCCTCAACAGGGCCCTTGGTATCTCCCCATCCCTCTCGGATGTAATTCATCCAGCTGTTCTCAGGCACTGGGTCTGCATTGTCAGTCCCCAGACAGCCTCCCGGTCCATGCAGGACACCTCATCTCTTGCCAGCCTGAGGCATGAGCCACCCTCGCCCGGGGGAAAGGAGACCCAGGGGAGCCAGTGCCCAGCACAGCTGGCCCGGCCGTGGCGAGGGGGGACACCAGCTGCTCCAGGCTCCTGACAGCCTGCTCTGACACTACCAGTGGAGAGGTTAGGTATTTATTTCTGTCCATTTTTTTCCATGAGTTTTTGAACAAGAAGGGAGAATATACTGCGCACACCGTCCCTTT